GCGGGAATGAAAAGCCTTTGGCGGGGCCGAGGATGGGATGGGGGGAGGGGGGGGGTGCACAGAGAAGTTAGTGTCTCCTGGGCAACCACTCTGATTGTCTGTCCCTGCCTGAAGTTCCCTATCACACTCCACCAAGTACGCCGTCTCACTTTTTCTCCCCTTCATTGGTTCCTAATAAGCCTTCCTTCTGCTTCAGGCTTTTATATGGAGGGCTCAGACTGAACTTGAGGGGATGACGTGAAAAAACAAGAAGAAGAAAAAAGGTTTCACTGTCCACTGTCTGGCAGGTTAAACAACACAATTGTGAGTTTTTCATGATATTTATTAGATGTGATACTTAAGAAAACAGGCACGGAGGACGTCTACTAAACTCCTCATCAGGGACAGTGAGAGCAGGACACTGAGGTACAGTATAGTGCCTGAGATAGGGGGTGAATGTACCCATTTGTCTTCATTTGGGAGGACCGGCAGACAGGGTGGGGGTGGGGAATCTATCCGCGAGGAGTGGGAGGTGCCGGTCCTCCAGTCAAGTGGCCTCAGGGGGATTTGAAATGCATTTGGGGTCCTCCCGCGAAAGCCTGGGAAAGTGTGGTGTAGCTGAGATCTTAACCATAGACTAATGACACAAACTGCAGTCCTTAACTAATTGTAGTCACCAACGCAAAACTGAGTCCCCTGCTGAAATACACAAGAAAAGGCTTTTCAGTACAAAGCCCACGGCTCAGAAAGGCCCTGTCTGCCTTTTTTGACAGATGCAGCAGCGCAAACTGTGACACAAGCAAATTAAACACACTGTAGCGCAGCAAAAGAGAGTTGTAAATTTTGTTGAGAGAGAAAGCATCCACATTTTTCAGTGGCCTCTGCTCCAAGTTGCCTTGTTTCCATGGAGATTTATGTACACATGGTGCACAAAAGAGGGCTAAGGAGGTAACACGGCCTGTTTAAGCCTTGAGGTATTTGGTTGAGCAAAACCCTGCTGCTAATAACACAAGCCTCACACTGAGCCAGGCAACCTGGATGAACTTCACCCAGGTTAGTGTTTAAAAAGGAGCAAGACAGAAGAGAAGGCAAAGGACAGGCAGACAAAGATCACAAACAACCAAAGATCCTGGAGAGGGAGTGAAGGCATTTAGACGAGAAAGAGATGGAATAAAGAAAGGAAAAAGTAGGAAGCAAAAGGAAAAAAAGAAAAGAAGGCAAGAAGTGAGCAAAAAGAGCACTGCAAACATAAATAGCTCCCGGGTTAAGAGAAAAAGGATCGGGAAGACATTTAGTGGGAAGCGGAAATCAATAAGGCAAGCGGTGAAGCTGGGAGGGAGATCTAAGTGGATTAGATTGAGAGAATGTGTTCGATAGGTTATGGCTCTGAGAGAGAGGTAGCCAGACACCGCAGGCTCTATTGCATACTAATAAGGAAGCCAGGATGGAAGCTAAGCACAGGGTTGTGCAGTTCACTCTGAAGACTTTTTCTATATGGCTCCGGAGTCAACAGTTAAGGTCTTTCCCAAGCTTTTTTCTCTACTTGACAGTGCTGCTGACTGTGCTCTGAACGCACTGTTAAAAAACATTTTAAAGAATGAAATACCACTTAATTTTCCAACTATTATCCCTAAGATGTTTTTTACAACGTAACCTCAACAACAAAAACACTCTGAAATGAAGGAAGCAGAACAGTTAATTCAGCTGCTCAACAGGAAAAAAAAAAGGAACAAGACAACATTAGCGCTCTTAACACTGTCTACTTGAAACAAGTTTTGTTTCACACTTTGGGCACAAACCCAGCCTCTATTCCTCTGGCCAAGAGCCTGGACCTGGGACAGCTGTCATGGTCGGAGTCTCCAGCATTAGGGAAAAGCCAAAAAGCAAGGAAAGAAAAGAGACAGAGAATGAGGAATGAGAGTGTAATTCGTCCAGGCTGTGTGAGGTGATTCCCGATGGCAGAGGAGGATAAAGAGAGGAAGCGATAAATGTTGTGCTTAGTCACAAACCTCCTCTCTGACCCAGGAGGTCAGGCCTCTGCACTGGTCACCAGATCAAAACCTCTGAGGCAGCCGGGCGTAAAACAAGATGCAAACTGCGACCCCTCACAGCGTGTTGGGCAGGCGGTGGCCAGTCTTGAAGATAAAGATCATCCAGACCGCTGATGTGTGTGTGTTTGTGTGGGAGGGGATAGCTGTAGTGGTAGTGGTATGGGGGGGGTTCCACTGGTGCATACTCCCCTTTACTTAGTTCAGTGAACCAAGGGACCACCAGCCACACCAGTAGTGGTGTGGGAGTGTGGAAAAAACTGTTGCCAAGAGGCCACTGGTGATAGTGCGATCGCTGTGGTTTGAACCTGATTGAGGAGGTCACCAAGAGGGGCTTAGGAGCAGCCACCTCCTCCTCTGACAACCACCACCACCCCTGCCTCCCCCCAGACACAGACAAAGTCCTTTTTCTCCACGTGCCCCTGAGCCTGCAACGGTGCGTTAACACTGATCTGATTTGCTCAATTAAACTTCAGAGAGACACCCTGCCACATCTCTTTGCAGAGGTCCTGACCTCAGGGCCAGAGGTTAAGTCTGCCGCTCGTAAAACAAGGTCTCCATTAACATGGCAGCATGTACACAGAGGTAATCCATCCATTTCCACAAACCGTCATGACAGTGTGAAAAAAAGGAAGACGTTACGTTGCTGACGCAAGGAAGGGAGGCAGGGAAAGGTAATGATGTTTTATGGCCGTGTTAACTTTCAGCACCAGAGTAATGGGAAAGCTGCTTGACCTTGACTTCTGCAGTCTGCCTTTGGACTGTCACTGGTTATGATGTCACCCCCTTTCTCTTTTAATCTCAAAAGTCTACAAACTCCTTATAATCATTTCTCTGTTCCTCTCCTTTTTTTCAACTTTAGTTTTAATTTAATTATAGAAGAGAGCAATCAGGGAAATTATATTTTACCTCCTAAATACAAAGATACTCATCCAAAAATTGATGTATGCCGATTGAAAGTAATTGTTCAATTATTTTAGTTTCTGATTTAATATTTTATTAATAGGAAAATGAATTAATTTTGTGGTACAATATTTTTTTAATCAAATCCAAGCCTTATTTTTACATTCGAAGGAGCAGCTTAGAGCCGATACAAACGGAGGGTTCAGTGTTCAGACAAGTCCTAACACAACGATCATCTGCAGGCCCTGTTACAACTATTCCATCAATCTGTCAAACTAGATATTCAAAATATGAATCCAGGTGGGCAGATGAGATGATTCAGAGAGGAGAAAAAAAGATTTGCACCTTTTATTTATCTGATAAAGCCTAAACAGTGTGTCAGTGTTTGTGCGTGTGTGTAAATGTGTGTGTGAGAGAGAGACAGAGACACCAGGGCTCTGTATTGAACACAGCCTGCCAGTTGGCACAATGGATGCCACAACCCCCACTTCCAGCCCCCAGCCTACTTCCCAGCGGGCATTCATCTGGGCATGCACATGGGTGCTGCAGCCCTGCCTGGCTAAATGTGCCTGCGCCCCACAACGAGGGGGTTGAGAGCCCTCTCTAATTCACCCAGCACACTCAGTGCCAACCTGCTGACCTTTCTCAGGCAGCACAATTTAAAAACAAATACTCTTGGAGCATTTTTTAAATTTGTTTCAAACGTAAGACAAACACAGTTAACTACACATCTTGAGTCAAAAAAGTGCAGCCACATATTTTAAGCGATCCAGTTACACAACACAGCCGAGGAGAGTCTTTGCCAGAGAGCAGTGAGAAGATTAAAACCACAGGCCCCGATCAATTTTTTCCCGCAGTTTCCACAACCGATGTGTTCTCCGCGTTTGATCGCATGTTTGTTTGTTTGTTGCACTTGCTGCAGAAAAAAGGCAGCGGCTACCATTCTGCCACTGTCCAAAAACTTTCCAGCGTGCCCACTGCATTGCGGATGCCAACCAACGAATCAAAGGCATGCTGCATGCAGACAAAGAGGGGTACGATGCCAACCTTCGAAACCTCTAACAACCATCACTGGTGATTTGACTGCCTCCCTGGCACCGTGCAAAACAAAATGGCGTCGCGGCGCACGCTGCTACAATATGGCTGCATTGTTTGGAGATGCTGCGTAGCGATCCCACTGCTTGGTAACTTGAGGAAAGGAGAAAGACTGCATCAAAAAAAGCAGGGGAAAAAAGTGATCCCAGTAACAGAATGTTATCTTGAAGTTGCCAGTGTGTTAAGAACAGTTTTCAGGAGAACGGCAGAAATCGTTCCAATCACGGACAGATTTATTCCACGGTAAAAACAAAACAGCGCATTCATAACGAATAAAAAGGCTTAATTTCAATTGGCTGCCAATAATTTGGCATCGCTTTATGTCAGCAAAATTTCTTAAAATGGAAAAATATCTGTGAAAAAAAATTCCTAAATGTTTTAAATTTTGAAAAAAAATAAAATAAAATGAGTCTTTTAAAAAAAAGCATTCTAGGAATTGTACAGAACATTTGAAATGCAGCAGATGCAGACTGGAGAAGCGGTGGCATCTTACAAAAGACACAAAAGAGGGTCTGATGCCAACCCCGGTGCCAGTGGCAACCATTATTGTCTGTGTGCTGTGCCTTCTGCTTTCCCTGGCACTTATCAAACACAAAATGGCGCTCAAGGTTTGATGATAATGAGCCTTAGCTATACCACCATTTTTCCCTCCCTGACAAAGTGCTGGTGGTTTTGCTGTGGATCTAAAGCAAGGGGAGTATAGTGAAGAGTATTCCTGAGGTGACGACCGAAAAAAAAAGTTGAAATAGGAATGACATGCTGCAAAAAAATAGTTTTTGGAATAAAAATATTTTTTTAAATGTCGTTTAATATTAAGGGATTTATTAAATGTCCTTCAATTGGAATTACAATGATTTGAGGGTGATGAGGGGTTGCAGTCATATGAATCCTCATTGATTTGAACATTGTTTTCTGCAGATTGGGTGCACACTCATGTATTGTAGCCCAATTCAAACTAAGATTCTAAAACTCTTTTTAATCTGCTATTTATTCTAGTAAATAAAAGAATTGCGTGTGATGAATTTAGGATTAAATCGTTTGTGTTCAACATCGTGTCAGATGTTGCAGGAAATCCCACGGCTTTATGGTTTTTATGACTTTTTTTTTTCTTATTTCACATTGATGTAAAAACCATTCCAAAAATACTAAATAACAACGCAAAACAATTCTGTAGGGTTTTTTTAACAAGCTGAAATTTCAGTGTACTGAAAAAAAAATTAAACCATAAGTGATGTTTTTTCCAGAAATTACGAAAACACTGAGCACGATCTATACACTTTGTCACATACAGTCTCATATGTTAAATAAGGCAAATTAAGTTTTATTTTTTTATTATTATTATTATTTTTAAATATATTAAACAATAACAAGCAAGGTGCAAAGTCATATTTATAATTCCGGTGTTCATTTGTGATGTGTGACTGCTCTTCCAAACAAAAAAAAATCTAAATTTGAAAGAAAAATATTTTAACAAAAACAAAACCAAAAATCTGATTTTATTAGAAAAATTCAATTAGGCTCTGCTGTTAATGTGAATGTCATATAGAAAAAATATTTTTTCATGACTGAGTTTTTATTAGAAAATTGTCCTCTTTTTTTATTTGCATTGCAGTTCACCAGAAAGCATTGATGAATACACACTGTGCGCGTGTGTATGTGTGTAAGATAACACACCTAGCCTTACTATAATTATTGAGCGTCTCCTGGAGTACAGCAGAACAAAGATACTTTTACAGCATGTTCTATGTTAAGGGTTGTTGACAGACTGTCTTTGTGTCGCTAATGGACTCTTGCAAAGATGCATGCAGTATATGCAGTAATTACACCACTAACTATCAGTGTTTTGTGTGTTTACAGGCCTTTAAATGTAAAGACTGGTGATTTCGGATGCTCATTAAGGCTGTCAAAAAGTACCACATGTGACCTTGAGCCTCAGTGAGCTTAAATGCACTCACAGAGTGCTGGCTTAGAGAGAAAAAAAGAACAGACAGTACAAGGTTTGACCTACCTTCCTGGACATAGTATGCTAGAAACAAGTCCAGCTCTTTGACCGATACTGTTATGTGGTGTGGCTGGACACAAAGTGCTGGGTTGTTGCAATGTGGAGACTTGACCAGCCGCTCGCCGTCTGTACTTTCCAGGGGGATGCCTTTGAAGAGGATGACCATCACCAGGTCCAGACGCCAGACTTTGTCTGCCTGCCGCAAACAGTCGATCCTGCGGATCTTGCCCTTCTGGTCCGGGTTGGACAACACGCAGCCTGGGTGCTTCTTGCCCGTCACGCTGAGGACAAAGTCCTCCCGGTACTCCTGCCGGATGTCTTTACGTAGCTTGGCCAGCAGCCTGGATGCCCACTTCTGCTTAACCTCTGCCTTCTCACTCAGGAGCTCGTCCTTCACCGCACGCTCCTCGTCCTTGGACATCCGCTTCTCGTGCTTCTTGAAGTACTTGCGTTTTCTGGCCTGGAGGTTGAACCATGTGTAGGCAATGGCCCGGACGTGAGGGAGAAGTGCCTCGATGAAGGGATGAAATTCATCCTGGAGCATCCAAGACAGAGAAAAAAAGGAAAAGAGCAAGGGATAATTGTTATGAAAAAATCATGTCGTCAAACACAAAGAAAATATTTAGCCTGTTTAGCCTGTGACTAATCTGCCCAGAAATGTTTTTTTAAATCCTCCTAATCAGACACGTTGTCCTATTAGCAGCTGTTCTTCACACAGCACTCATTTTTACCATTTAGATGCATCAGCATGAACTGCAGCTATGACAAGGAAATTCCACTGTTTATATCAACTGCCAACATTACAATAGCACCAAGCCTGATGACTGAATGCACTCATGTCTCTGCTCTCAATTCCCGAGCAGGATCTGAGGGGGACTCCTGTGCTGTTCTCTTTCTTTTATTAAACTGCTTCCACTCCTACACCCCACGTATCCCGTGTTCACTTAGGCCTAAGATGTTGCAGCCAGTATGTCTTTCAGCTACAAGAGAATAAAAAAAAGAAGGGTGCCCAATCTATGGGCAACATACAAAGCGTGTCATTCACACACAGTATGTACAGGATGTATTAACATTAGAGGAGGAAGAAGTTTCACATCAAACAAAGCAATCATGCGAAAGGTATTTGCACAGGTTAAGTTAGGACTTATTTAGAAGCTGCTGCCAAGTCATTTCAAGCATTCAGGTTAACACAAGACACTCGCCCGGCTTCATTCCATAATCCTGAGGTCACAGAGTGGTATCAAAACCCCAGTTGACTTCTAAGCTGTTTCCTCTGACTGAGAATCAAAAAAAAAAATTACAATAAAAAGTGAATAAATAAAAGTAAATAAAAAGTATCTTTTGTAACTCAAATGATCATTAATTAATGACTAATTATTGGTAAATGACCCTTTAAATTAAAACCAACAGTCACTATCGTTATTCAGCTATAATTCTGGATTAAAGAAAACAAATGATTCCTTCATCATCACAGTCCAATCAAGAGGGGAAAAGAGCACTTTACAGCAGACAGGTGTTCACATTAAACACAGCCCCAGTAACTGTACAACAAATTATAGTAATCTCTTAAAGCTTATATTCTAAACGTGCTGGAATGTACAGGACAGCGTGACACAAATGATTTAGGAGTCGTCAGAAATTACGGCAGCTGCGAAAGAAGTTCATACATCAACTTATCTTAGTTTTACATCGTTAAAATGTCAAACCTAATAGGTGGAAGGAGCCCCCGCTTTTTAAAGGAGCTTTTGAAGAGTTAAACCACATATTGTTCCTTTTTTGTATGCAGTCAGGCAGGCAGGGTAACCACAGAAATCCACTCCCTCTCTCTCTCTCTCAGAGAGCGGCTGCTGCTTCTCTGACAAGACACCCTTGAACTTGGGAGCCACTAAAATTCAGCTCCAAATTATTATTTTATTTTTTTAATTTTTGTTCCAAAGCAAAAGCACAAACAAATGTTTTTAAATCAGGTAATTTTTGATTTTTATGAATACTGTAAATTCTATACAATATGTGCCTTTAAAGGGGTACAAAAAAGTAAAATTCAAGACTTCTTTTAAATGTCACCTCCACACCAATTAAAACGACAAACCCGAGCAGTAAATGTGATTTGCAGCAACAGTGACTGAGATCATTTTCACGACTGGTTTCCTGTACAAAATCATTTTAGATATTCTGTTAATATTATTATTTTTTTTACCCTTTCCATTCGGTCTGAAGCCAAATGCTGTAAAGATAAATGACTTGGCCAGGGCCTGTGCAGTGCACTTCAGCTGAGGCCATAAAAGCACAATCCTCTTAAGTACAAACTAAACCACATCTCAGTCAATCACTTACTTATGCCAAGTAAAATATAAACAGTAAAACTGAGTCAGCCAAAACAGTCAGCTACTCTGTCCAACCCTGAATCAACTTTATCAAACATTTCATCTTCTTTTCAGTGAAAATGCATTTATCTTCACTTCCCATCACTTCCCCAAAATATAGGGGTTTATTTCTCTGAAAGAAAAATATACACTTGGAAAAAAAATATAAACACAACTCTTGTAAGACTCGGGAAAAGTGCTTAAGGTTAATAGAGGACGTCAAGAACGTGAATCAAAATGAATAACAACTGTTGTAGTTACAGTGAAGTGTCAAAACCCCTCGAAAACACCTTAACGCACAACTTTTACGCACAGATGGAGCGCCGAGGAATTCGGATCATTTACTGTTTCAGGTGCAAAAAACAATTATCAATATTAATATTGAGCCTTTTTTCTTCTAAATTCCGAATAAATAATAATAAATAATAAGGAATATGATTTTTTTCGTTTGTCATAGAGATAAATATTGGAAAGACACTGCTACACAAATAAACTTAAAAAAAAAAAAAAAAAAAAAAAAAACCACGCACGAAAAAAAAAAAAAAAAAAAAACCACGCACGAAAAAAAAAAAAAAAAAAAAAAAAACCACGCACGAAAAAAAAAAAAAAAAAAAAACCACGCACGAAAAAAAAAAAAAAAAAAAAAACCACGCACGAAAAAAAAAAAAAAAAAAAAAAAAACCACGCACGAAAAAAAAAAAAAAAAAAAAACCACGCACGAAAAAAAAAAAAAAAAAAAAACCACGCACGAAAAAAAAAAAAAAAAAAAAACCACGCACGAAAAAAAAAAAAAAAAAAAAAACCACGCACGAAAAAAAAAAAAAAAAAAAAAAACCACGCACGAAAAAAAAAAAAAAAAAAAAAAAAACCACGCACGAAAAAAAAAAAAAAAAAAAAACAAACCTGCGCTGCAATAAAAATAAATTACAACATAGTATTACCTGAGTGAGACAAATTGGAGAGTACATGATGAGACGGCTAAACAGAGAGTGACTGCACTTGGACTGATTCCTCTAAACACTTTATCGCGCCATTCCTGGACCGATGTGCACGGTGCAAGACTGTGGAGCAGCGTTCCGCGAAAGAGCCACAAAAGAGATTATCCAAGGACGTCCATAGATTTGTTTTTCTGCGATCCGAAGATTGTCAGTTCCGCTCACAGAAAATAAAGTAAAAAATATATATATTTGCAGGTGGTGAATGTTAAAATTAATTTATTTAAAGTTCACATGCAGCGGCAGGGTCTGCTCGTGGAGCCGGTGCAAACGGAGCTGCTGCGTACTCCTCCGGTGCGTGGGCTCTCTGCGAGTGTCGGTGCGGCGCAATGTCGTTCATAAAACGCGTGAATGCTGCGCAGCTTCGGAGCGCGCCCGTGCGTGTCGCGATGCGTGCTCTTCAAACCCACTGCGTCCACCAAACTTGGTGTGTGGAAATCGTCCGATGCACACCTTCGCAATCTTGCGCGATTCCAGCAAATCAGACCCAACTTTTTTCTTCTTCTTCTTTTTTCTCCCCCCAGCCACGTAATTACAGAGTCACACTCCTCCTCCTTCACCTCCTCCTCCTCCTCCAAACACACGGCTCCTATCTACCATCCAGCACCTTCCTCTCCTGCTCCGCTGCCTTCAAACACAACTCATTTACCCCCTCCACTCCTTCAGAGCTATTATTCCTAACAGCCTCGGGGACTTTGGACCAAAGCCTCGGTCAGAGACTGAATGTAAGCAAAAAGAACGGGAAATTTCCCAGCGCAGATCTGGCAACCCTGTCTATCAACAACATGCGCTCCTTATCGCTCTTTTCCCTAGTTTATACAGCAGCATTTCGTACAAAGCGCATTTTATACCAAAAAATATATAAAAAGTTTAAAGTAACTTAAGTCAGAGTAGAATTGCATTACGTCATATAAAGTTAATTAGAATATAATCTTCAGGGAAATGGCATAAATTAATTAAATATCTAACGCATTTTGCTTGCAATGCAATAACACGACAACTAACACGGGCTATTTATTCATTCAATATAAATTAATATAATTATACCTACATTTGGTTTTAATTATATGCTAAAATGTGTTATTACATTTGGAAATGCAAGTTAATCTGTGTGAGTGCGTGTGTGCGTGTGTGTGTGTGTGTTATGTGAGGCCACGACTTGTAACTAATTTGCCAAATTAAAGGGGGAAATAATGGCATGATAACACTTAGGTCGACTGTGCCAACTTTAGCCCACTTTAGTGCCAATGTTTTGGTGCGTGTTAAAAAGTTAACCCTCTACTGCACACTTCCCGTCCGTCAGGTCAGGACAGGACAGGACAGGACAGAATTTCAACCCGCATATATATTATCACAACATTGTTTATCAATAAAAGCATACAACAACGTCCATGTTCACGTACCATTGCACTGTACTGCATGGATTAAATGGGGAATCCTGGAGCCTGGTTGGAAACGCACAAGCCGGTAGCTTCACATTTCTCACGTTCAACTTTGTGCTTTGGAGGATTTTCTCTCGCAGTCAGTGCTCCAACACACACACAAAAGTCAACACCGGAAGACAATTCTTGGCAGAATGCGTTGAAAAGAAGTTAGGAGCACCTCGCGTTTTCCCTTTTTTTTCTTGTTTTCCTTCCTCTTCGTCTCTTACGTTTTTTGGACCGGGTTTTTGGGCTTGTTCAGTGGAGTTGAACGTGATCCAGAAGAGGCAGAGTTTTGGGCTCTGGGCTGATCTCTCCGCCTTCACTTTCACTGTCTGACACACTGCCGCCCCGCGGCTCTTTGCAGCCATCGTCAAGTCATACGTTCTTCAAAAAGCAATTTCCCGCAGGGATTTTCTAAATAAAAGCCTCGATCACCTAAATAATTTTTAGGCATAAAGGCAGAGGTAAATAAATAAATTGCAAGATTATATTAGGGAGACAAAAGTTTGTCTATTTTCAACCTCCCTGAAACACCCCAATGGCACAGGACCTGTGGACTTCACACCACAGTCGTGCCAAGGCCATGGGTTCTAACCAAGAATCCTGAGATTGTCAAAAACCCAGGCCTTAAGCTAGTGGTTTTCGAATTCTTTGTGCAGCGCCCCCTTTAATAGATACTGGGTAAACCTGGTGTACGTTTGACATTTTTGGACCCCTCAAAATGTTTTTAGAAGTAATAGTAGTAATGCAACTACGAGAACTATTTTCATCTCACACAGCACTGTGTCCCCTTGAACAAACAAAGAAAACCCTCTGGTTGTACTTTTCACTAAACTTGTAAAACAGTAGAGAAGGAAATTCTGTGTTTAAATGTAGTCTTTGCTTTGTATAAAAACAACTTGTTTTTAAGAATAAATTCAATAATAATATGACATTTTGTGTAGTAAGATATTACAGGAACTTAAAAATAAACTTAACATTAACAAAATAGAATTAATTATTCTTTATCAATATTTTTTTATTTGAGCATTGTAAGGCAGCATATGTAGTTATTCGGAAACCCCCATACAGATTATAGGCATATATTTGTATATTTTAATATCACTGTGTGGTGAAAACATATTTTTAGGTGTTTTCTTTTGATAGAATATATAAAAAAAAATCAAAAATCTATTTCAATTTCTAGATCTCTTATTTTGAATGGTCCCTTTTACTATTTGCCTTTTACTCTGCAGCTTGACATTGTACAGTGTCACGGTGTTGTAACACAGCTTGCATTCTTGCTTCTCATTGGCCAACAGCAGGGGCCCCGGGACTCTGTGCCCTGGGCCCCTCATTTCCGCTCCTGTGACATACTGGTTGGTGAATGACAGAGCTGGACAGTCAGTGCTTAATGACATCACTGAAATCACTGCAGCAGCAGGAGCAACACAATAATAATAATAATAATAATAATAATAATAATAATGATGATGATGATGATGATGATGATGATGATGATGATGATGATGATGATGATGATGGAGGAACATTTTCAGTAATTACTGCTCACCTCAAATACCTGCTTATTCCAACTATGGAAAGAGCATTTGCCCTAAAGCCTCTATCTTAGCTGTTATTACAGTATTAACTTGTACAGCAGTGCTTCATGGTGTTCATTAAGGAAATTAGAGCCATTCTTTTTACATGAAGCACTTTCCAAGGTTAAGCACCCAGGGCCTTCCAAATGTGACAATTTAGAGGGGAACAATTAAAAACATTAAGTCTGCAACAGCAGCAATCACAATCGCATCAGCAACAGTAAGCAACATTCTAATGGCGGCCGTGGTGGCAGTGTGCAGCAGTGATGCTAATGGTGCTATGTTGCCAGAGCTGTTGACTGATGGAACATTTGAAAGGGGTAACCTTGAATAATCATTTGCTGTGTGCAAACGCAGCGACAATAGAGGATGTGGCTGAGTGGGTTCCTTTTTTTTTTTTCTTTATCACTGCAGTTACTCCTGCAATTGTATCACATCTGTTATAACATTAAATACAAAATAACAGTATCTACAATTGTCATACGCTGTAAAGATCATGAGCAAGCTTCAGGATGGATTTAACTGTCTAACTGTAAAGGTAGGTTTGAGTTCATTTCACTCCAGAGCCACGGCTAATGTCACTAGGAAAAGCTTATTTGATCGTATAATAATATACTTGTTTTTATAACAATACAAAATAAAAATAAAACATTGACACCAATAAAAAAATAAAAACAATACACTCAGGCATGTTTGAAACTTGGTTATTATTATGAAGTATGAATTTAAAGTGCATTTATTTCTCTTCTAAATTGCTTTTCAATTATGATCTCACTTACTGACTCTTTAGTCTCCTGCTTCCATTTATCCAGCATCATACTGCATGATACCAGTTTAATGAGGCTCATGGCAAACGGCCTTCATAGATCCAGGCCACTGGATGGGAGCCTGGCGCCCTCTTGTGTTCACTTGTTGGAACGTTAGAACTAATGCTCTGTCGTTTTTGACATTTTTTTACGATTTTTTTTTTTAAATGTTTTTTGAAAACATTTAGCGGAAATCTTAGGGACCTTCTATGTTTCTGGTGCTCACCTGTAAGTTTAAGGTGAGCACATGAAACGTTTTTCCCTTTAGGGGCTACATAAACTATTTTGTATACGTTTACGTTCAAGAATTTAAACTACAATTCATCAGTGTATCTTCAACGTAAATCTTTAAGTTAATAGAATTCAATAGACTCTATATAAAATAGATGTTCAAACGTTCTTTGATGAAGCACAAATTCAATAATAAGAACCACAGTGCTGACAGTGTATTTTCAGTTTGATTAGTTAAATAGCAAAGTAAAAATCATCTAGTTATGGACATATGCATTACCATTCTGCATTTGAAGTCTGGTTAAAAAGAAAAGGTAGTTTACACGGACAAAGATGTTGAAGTTTGAAGGACGGATCTGTTTACGTTTCCTTCTTGATGCCCTTGAAACACTGTTACGGGAACTACAAATGACAGAAAATAAAGCAGCTTCATGATGGAAAACGTGTAAAATTTAAGTTAGGCCAGAATTTGTTTTAGATATTGTTAAAATGGAATAAAATATTTTCCTGAAAAGACAAAGAATTATATACTGGCTGTGGCAACAGTCCGAGGAGAGATATTTAACACAGGCCTTACACCAAAGGTAATTTTCCATCAACATTGGATGTATGGTAATTTTAAGGAATTTTTTTGAGGTTACACATATATAGACATAGATATTAGAAATAAAGATATAGATATGTAGCCTCAAATTAAATATGTTATGTATTCTTTCTTTCTTTCTTTTTTAAATTTTTTTTACAGTTAAGCAGTGCAATGTGATTTCTGTTGGTCTTGAGAATGTCTCACAGCATAACACCATTAGAGACAGTGAAACCGAGCTCAAATTTAGATAAATATCCCAAATAACTATCAGATAATAAATGGCTACACTGATCAGGGAGAAAAAAGGGTCGGTCAAATGTACCAAAAACCTTTCAGCGATAGTTGAGAAATTGATCTAGAAATTATCAAAAAGACATAACTTTTTTTTGAAGTAGTTAAAATGCAATAGACCTTAGAATGGAGTCCTAGGCCACATAAAGGTCCAGTAGCTACAGTTTAGCAATAATATAGCATGTAATGATTCGGTTCTGTGTACATAAAAGTGCTGCCTGCATACTCTGTTAAACGTCTATTTATACTGAATCAGCATGGTTGAGTTATGTTGCTGCTGGTACAACATCCCTGCTGGAATTACCAGAGCGGCCATTTGGCTATAAATTACTGTGTGAGTTAAATGTCTCTGGTGTTTTTGATATGTTTAGTTAACACTTATCAAGCCAGGAGTTCTGTGTGGTAGATATTTATTGTACAAACATTGGGCCAAACCCTCTGTTTCCGTCACTGCTGTCCAACAGAACAGCTGAGGCACCGTTTGCTTTGATTAAACTGGGAAGATATTCCCTGCAATTCATTAAACCCTGGATTTAAAGGTGTTTCAGGGAGATTTTTATGGTCAAGATTTAAAGTGTTCTGGAGATCGTTGCAGCTTTTCACTTTATTGCCCCACTTCCTGAGGGCTTTTAATAACAGCTGTCAGTGTTTCTGTTGTTTTTGTTGGAATACAGTCAGCAGAGGAGGTTTCTCTGAACATGTCTTCAAAAATCAAAAACTCTTCTTCTACAGTTCTAATGAAAGTTGCTTTACTTCACAACCTATTCTGCCTCTTCCCTAAAGTTGTTAAAATCTAGACAAAAATGTGAAAATCACAGAGTCTCTGCCTTATGTGAGCTCCGGAATACAAACCTTAAATGTCTAACATGCACTACTATAAAAAGGCATATATTGGCACAGCCTGCAGGAGCAGCAGCAGCAGAGCAGGGCCTGAACAGAAAGGGTCACTTCTGTCAGCTTTAATGCACTGAGGCAGACAAACAAACCCCAGCTCGGGCCCTGACGCTGGAGCACAATAAAAGCGCGCCTGTGGTCCCACAAGTAAATAAATATTCAGAATGAAATGTCAGCCCGTGTTGCCT